GACAGTCACTCACTGCATACTGTGTTTTTTGTGATTTGTTTGCATTAACCCTTGAAGTGCTTACACAGTACAACGAAACATGGCTCTATCATGTAAACACAAGGCTAATTTGCACACTACATAGATTGGACGACAGCTCCATAGTGCTCTATGTAGACCAGTTTGATCTCAAACAAGATCAAACTGGTCTATACATACAAACTATATGAACGAGCACAAACACAGATGTACATAGTGTTCATCAACATACATCCACACACGGACACACTTGTGCGTGATGAAAATAAAAAGAGACACTTGCTCTGTTGGCACCTCCTCCAATCACACACGCCGCCTCCACTCCTTCATCCCAGCTGTCACAACTGCAAAAGCTCTACAAATACACACGCACACTCTCGCATATTCACACTCACCCACACACACCACTTTTCCTGCTCACACCTTTTCCCGCTCACCATGGCTCTCTCCAGTTGGTGCTTATGTGCCCACTCTCTGCCACAGCTTGTATGTAATGTGTGTGTGTTTATGTGTGTATGCGTGTGTCATCGCCTTTTATTGACATGGTTCTAGCTGAGCTCCAACATGTATGGCCTCACCTCTGGTCCTGCTGCATGAGAAAAAAAATGAACAGTGAGTCATGTTTTATTAAGGCCTCCTCTAAACTGTGAACAATTACAGCCACCTAAAACTCAATCTGTTCTGCGTCTGAGAGCAGGGAGAGCATTGAAATGGCAGTGGGTAATTTGGTCACGCCTAGTTGTGAATCTCTGCTTTTTCTCTGCTTTATGCCTCTTTACTTTTTGCTCCAACTCGTTCCAACTTAATGTTGGGCTATTGAATGTCATGACCAGTGTGTCAAATCTCTCCTGTGCTTACTCTGCATCTTTTGGTGTGTCAGTGTACGCCAAATGCTTCCTGTTTGACAGCTACACCATGTGTGAGGTCATAAATCTGATCACCACAGACACAGAATACTGTGGCACTCACGCTTGCAGGAAGCACCCTGGATTAGCGAAGATTTATGGTTATGCCTTGGATAACACACCCATCACTTGCGAATGCACCCAGTATGCTTTTTTCCCCTTTGAATGACAAACTGCCATTTTTGCAAGTGGAAACAAAAGTGCTGTGCGCCCTAAATCAATCCGTAGAGATGCAGAACAGATTCAAATTAAGTTTAACTTAAAGGGCCTATATCCAAATAAATAAGGAGACTGAAATAAGGAGCAGATATTGGGGGAAATTGGGCCCCTGGTAGTGATTATCACACTCATAGAGTTTTTCCATCCTGGTACCCTGGCTCAGACTCTTATGTCTGGATATTTTAAAGGGTCCAAGGAGGGTTGGGCACGTATTATTTTCAACACTTCAGATTAAAACCTGCTACGACTCTCTGAGGCCTTACTAATACAGACCCCCTGCTGGGTTACAGTGAAATTAAAAATGAAAATAAAAACCTGTGACTGTGAAAACACTGTTAAAGCTGAGGTGGAAACTGTATGTGTGACACTGAGATGCTGTGATGACGTCTCTGGAAAGGTAATAATTAACAGCGTCACCTTTTTTACAACATAGAGGAAAGAGAATTTTTGAAAATTGTATGATGACGGATTTAAAGTCAGGGACTGGCTTCAATGGTTTAGCACATAGAAATATGGCAAGATTGGGTGAAATTACCATGCCAAGTTAATTTTGAGCCATCAAAACACATTTATTTTTGCAATGGCTCATTTCTCTCTGTTTTCTCCTTGTACATGTAATAGCTAAGGTATCAAGAGGTATCAACTGTTGCAGAACGAGGACAACATTTAAATCAATGCATTGACGTCTCAAAGGATGGAAGTTTGGAAGCACAGAAATGTTCAAAAATCATTATATTAAATACAAATTCAAACCTAAGTTTAAAGTGAAATATGGAATAATTGTATATTTTTTGGAAGTTTGCAAATGCTAACCCCTAAAATATCTTTAAGCTATGCTTGAAGGGGTCATATTGTTTGAATAAAGGTTGCAAATCCCACTTTACTGCATCAAAATTAATTCAGTGGTTAGGGTAATTATCGGTCCAATTATGTTTTTTGTAACTTTTTCTTGCATATAATATATATGAAGATATGGATACAACAAATACCTTAAATAACAAAAGCAAAGTATTTTGTATATTGTAACTATAATAATACACTCTTACCATTTCTTACCAGCCCACTCTAAACAAGCAGCATGCATGCCACCCATTTTCCTCTCCATCTCACACACTAACACACTCACACACACATACTCTCATTTAAGATGCCTCGGGAAGTGCCAGGCAGTACCAGTCCACTGGTTCCTCTATCGCCAAGGCCTGACAAACAGGGCGCCGGCTGGCAGGATGCCCCCGGCCCCTCCTCACGGCGCTCGGTCGCAGGCAGCTGAGAGAAAGAGGGGCCAATACACCAACAGTTGCTGAGACTTTGGTTGAGCGACTGGCCGGGCTGCTGCACGCCACCCAGCCCAAATTCAGGGCACCTGACCCTGGGTAAACTGACAAATGCCTGGCCTTTGGGAGCACCCGCAGATTGATGTGACCCTGAGGGTGTTATGACCCCACTGAATTAGGCACACACTTCTAGCCATGTTCCCACTCACAACGTTTTTTCTAAGCACCTGAGGAAGAACATTGCACCCAGGAATGAGTGCTTTAATTTACTCCTGATTAACATGTTCAATATGTCAACAATGATTAGATTTGCATTGCATGACACTGGAAATGTTTTATTTATTTGATCACGCATTTCCTTAATTAGCTCAACTGCTAAACTTGCTCAACTGCCCCTGTAGTTAATATTCATAGGCTGTAATATTTGCGAGCGCTGCTGCCGTATATGCTTGTTGGCACCGACACACACAAGCATATGGTACATAAGCACAGATTATAGCCTCGCAATGTACACTAAACGCATCAGCCATATTTAACTCATTTTGACAAGGCTGTTAATTTCTCTCTGAAACCAGGGATGGATTCCAACGGCTCTCTCTATCCACGTCCACTCTTCCCTCCAAAATGCCCAGCTGTTGCCACAGTAGACAGCTGCTTTAGGGGTAGAACGAATCTCAGCTGTTGAGGGGAGTTGTACAAGGGGGGGGTTGGTGGATTTGGGGGTTTGTATTCCCTGAAACCAATGACACTTCACATACATGCACTGAGTTGGGCGGAGTGTGGAAAATGCTGACAGATAGCAGATTTAGGGACAGAAACCAGAGGCTACAGCTGTCTATGTGTTTACAACCAGAACTGCTAGGAAACACTGAAATTGACATCTGGGGTCATATAAGTGATGTCCCCAAAATGTCTGGAGAACTGCAAATTACAATGTTTGGCAGCTGGAGAATGAAAGAGAAATAACGTTTATCAAAAGTTTACTACCATAAATGTTTACCACATAAGGATTAGTTGCCAAATCCTATAAGAGCATCTACTGAGTCTGGAAAGCCTGGTCCTTGATCAGAAAGGCAAATATACTATACACAAATATCTCTTTCATAACAAACTAGATCAAAGAGCAAGGAGGAAATCAGCCTTGTGTTACTGTCCTCAGAAGATCAGGATCCAACAGAATAAGCGGCAGTCGCTCTTTGTTGCAAATGTAAAAAATATGTGTACCATGCTAAAGATTGGCATACTCCATGTCATACGTTTGTATTACGTTAGGATTTATAATGGGTGTTGGACTTGGTAAGAGTGTCTGAGAGGCTGGTGACTGTTCTGCTCTGATCAATCGGTTGGTGGAGGCTGGAGGAAGTTGCCTAAACAGAGGCCTACCACTAATGATAAAGACAGAGTGTATATTAACTCAATCAAAAATAGTCCAATAGGCCTATGCATCTAATAGAGATAATTTCGGGCGTGTTTTGATTTAGCCCTTTTAATATTTATAATATCAGTATTTTGTAGTTCAGGGGACAACCGAAACTAACTTGAACTTTCTCTCTGCCGTACTGCCTTGTTTTATCTGTTTTCTATCTCGTATTCTTAAGTCTCCCTCTTGTGGTGCATGACTGAAATCACATCCCAAGCATCTTCGACAGGTGGCAGCAGGTTGTTTCTCTCTCTACAGTACGTAAATAATGTTCATACTAATGAAACAAAGCCTTTAATCAATTAGAGGAAGGATAACTATGAGGTCACTCTGAATATAACATATGTACCTTATTGTGAAGAGAATACACTGGCTTGATTTGTATTCAACTGATTCTTGCAAGACAATATCAATGAAAATAATGTAAAATATGTCATGAGGAAGAAAAATAGTTTTGACCCAAACAAGTCATACTGATACCTTGCTAACAGATAATATGTGTTGAAAGTTTCTACAATAGCCCCATAATATTTATTTTTGAGGACTATAGTGAGTGGGTGAAAGAGGTGGGAGAAGTACTCAGATATTGTACTTGAGTTAAAGTAGAAGTATAGGAGTGTAGGAATACTCTGTTACAAGGATTCAAAAAGCTACTCAAGTGAAAGTACAAAAGTATTGGCATCAAAATATACTTAAAGTATCATAAGTAAAAGTACTTATTATGCAGATTGGCCCATTTCAGAATAATACATAATATGTTTTTCTTATAATTATTGATGCATTAATGTGTTTATCAAAGCTGGTAAAGGTACAGCTAGTTTTAATCACTTTGTATACTGCAGGGGAGCTGTTTAATTTACTAGGTGTAACTAAAGTCTTATTTAAGTGTTGATTATATTTCACATTATTAATCCAAGTCTGTAAAGTAACTAAAGGTACAAAATAAATGTAGTGGAGTAAAAGTACAAAGTAGCACAAAATGGAAATACTCAAGTAAAGTACAATTATCTCAAAATTGTACTCAAGTACAGTACTTGAATCAATGTGATCTCTGGTGGTTGAAGAGTTGTGGCTTTTCTGAACAGGCGCATTGGAGCCTTAATCAGTGCAAAGTGCAGAGCCCCTATGTCCTGATAGTTGTGCGCACAAGGTGGAGTTTTCTGCTCCATCACATCTACAAGGCGCAGGAAGCTGTTGTCCTGAAGAGAGGAGGCTGTCAGCAACAGGAAGCAGCTGAACAACGGAAGCGTTTTTGCATTTCGGAATAATTTCACTGCTGCTCTGAGTAGAGGAGGTGTCTAGGAACATGCTGTCAACGCGCAGGTGAAACCCATCTGCTAATTGCACTCTACAAGTTCTTCGCTGCTACTACTTTCAAGTCCTCGTGAGGATTTGTTTAGTTTTCTTTGGTTAAGATTCACAGAGATAGTTTTAAAATCTTGATAAATGTCTCGCAAGAAGTCCGCCAAAGGTAAAGCCGTGACAAGCAGCCCGTCTGCGGACAGCCCCGCCGGGAAAGGGGCCGGGAAGACCGCGAGGAGCAGCCCGGGAATTGTTCAGATGAACGGCGTGGTCCATCCCAGTAGACCGTCCATCAGCAACAGCAGCGAGTTCTACGACATCGCTTTCAAGGTAGGATGCCTGCTGTTCAGTAAATGCACGAACAAATACAACTCACAAAAGTGGGCTTTAATTTCTATCATTAATGACCAAAACAACTTGATACCAAGAACAGGCCATAGAAGTCGTTGATATTACAAATCATATCGACACTTTTAGGCTTTTGTTTCCCTTTTTAGGGCGAGAATATGTAGTGAAGGAAGTGGCAATTACTAAGTGGATTTGTGGTCTACTTTATTCATTGCCAGTGTCGTTTTCTTGTTAAGCTTTCATTGTTTCTCGTTTTACAACCTCTTCATTCATTAAACTGCAGCGTGCTCCTGACACCAGCTGTGTCAATAGTCGATCGATAACCTGGAAAGGTGCACAGATCCGTGCACAAGCCTACAAACAAATCAACTGGTTGAATGCATGTTTGTTTCTGTCAGCAGCACCCTCTGGGATTGCGTTTACAGTGAGCGAGTTGTGTGCTTTACCTAACCATATTGTGAGACAACTGTCACCTCACCTCGTTGTAACACAAGCACAGATTCACACACAGATTCTCAGTGTACTCTCGGCATCACTTCAAGGGACCTGTGCCACCTACTCTGTGTTTTGAAGCAGCTGTTTGATGTTAGTACATGATGCCTTTGTGTTGCTCTTTTTCACAGAACAATTGGATTGATTGTTCAATCCAAGCCACTCGGAACTGTATATATTCATATTTAATTAGCTATATTGTTTGGTGTGGGGACTACCACGTCTCCATTCAACACCATTGCAGCTAGAAAATAACAATTGAAGGAAAAGCAGCTTTCTCCAGTGTTTACCTGGGCTGAAACAAGATGTACTGCTACACACAAACTATAACTTGATTTAGTTCTGTGATCTGTAGCATCTCGAAATCCAATTATTGTAGGGATGCATCTTCAAACATGTGATCCACACTGAAAGTATCTGGCCCAGTTACATCCTGTCATTCCCTTTCCTTGTCTTTCATCTCCTCTATCCTTCCTCTGTGCACCCAGGAGGCGCTTTTTGATTTGCAGGGTCTAGGGCATCACAGTCCCTCAGCTAACCTGATAACCGTAATCACATCAAACCGTTAACTTCATCACAGCTCCGAATAAAAAGAGAAGGAATGAGGCTCAAGTCGTTTTTTTATGTGCGCACACACGATAAGATACTTATGATGGCTGTATACATTAACACACTGACAGAAAGGACATCAACTGGTTCAGAACCCTGCCGCCCGCATCATCACCAGAACCCCCTCCATTAACCACATCACTCCTGTTCTTCAGCAACTTCACTGGCTCCCCGTCAAATCCTGTATAGTTTTTAAGATTCTGCTCCTCACCTTTAAGGCCATCCATAACCTCACTCCTCTGTACCTCACCGACCTCCTGCACATCAACACACCCATCCGCACACTCGGGTCTTCTGCTTCCCTCAACCTCACTGCACCCCCCTTCCGTTTAACCACCATGGGGTCTAGAGCCTTCAGCCGCTCTGCACCCCGCCTCTGGAACTCCCTCCCACCTGACATCCGCAATACTGACTCTCTCCCCATTTTCAAATCACGTCTCAAAACATATCTCTTCACACTCGCATATCCACCCTGATCATTATCCATCACACATCCTCTGTTTTATTTATTTTTTTTTTTTTTTTGTGTTTGTACGGCGACCTTGAGAGCCTTGAAAGGTGCCTATATAAAATAAATGTATTATTATCCACTGGTAGCCAATATAAGCAGTCACACATGCATTCACATACACCCTCTTCACTGGATAGGCACCAGAATACCAGGACTAATTTAGCTGAATGATTCAAATGTCCTGTTTTTTTTCTGAGGACAAACAACCAGACACTGATATCAAATTAAACATAAGCAACGTCTCCCTGCTGTTAAGGCTCCTACACAGTGTTTTGGCTGATTTACCTCGTAGTTCTATCCCTCACACTCCCTAGTTTTACTTTTGTTGTGCTTCTTAGTTTAGCCCTCCAGTGAAACCTGTCTGAGTTGTTCCCTCTTGTATTCCTGTCCAGGTGATGCTGGTTGGAGACTCCGGTGTGGGGAAAACATGTCTTCTAGTTCGTTTTAAGGACGGAGCTTTCCTGGCTGGCAGCTTCATCTCCACTGTGGGCATTGACTTTAGGGTGAGTTTCAATCAATGCAACTCAAAACAACAAGCAGAAACCTGCAAATCACCCACATGCATGAGAACACACTGTCAGGTTTAGTACCTTTGGTAAAACGGGGCCATTTATACTGATGGGATTTTTTTCCGATTCAGTGTCTTTACATGCCCCAGAGCTATGAGTCTTTCTCATGTTAGAAGTCTCACAAGATAGGATATTGATTTCTTAAATTAGTTTGACACGCTTTAGTTTTTTAGTCTCCCTGGTTGATAACCGTGTCTCTCGTGTGCCAGTTTAGTAGTCCCACATGGGCAGCCAGGAAATAACTTATCCATCTTCTCTAATGATCACACTCGGGTGTCCGACACTCAGACGACCACTCAGAGCAACACTCTGACTCAGGGTTGAGGAAAAAAAGAGACAGTTTCTTCCCTGCTGCTCTACAGTGACCTCATGCACAGGGTCACGTCAGCCACAGTAACATCTCTGGGTGTTTGCTAGGGATGGGTACCGAGCCCCGGTATTAAACGGGCCCGGGGCTGAATTATTAAAGACCGTGTTACCGTTGAGCTCCAACGTTATCGGTCTTTTTATCGGTACTGGAGACATGTAAAAAATACATGTCATGTATTATTGCTACACAAACATTATATTGCAGTTTTAGTGTCGCCAACTCCGTTTCTAATATGCAAAAAGACAGCAAAATGCGTCTATGATTATTTTCGATCTTTCCAATCCAGACGAGAGATCTCTCCCTCTCCTGTCTGTGTGCGAGGGGGCGGGGCAGTTTACACACGCGCAGCTGCTACATGCAGCAACACACACACGGAGGAGATGGCGGAGAGAACGCGCTCCAAGGTGTGGTTAAACTTGACCCGTCTCGATGTGGACAATGCTCGTTGCCAAAAGTGCAATAAGAGTTTAGCATGTACAGTAAGGGCGGTAACACGAGCAATTTGTCGAAACATTTAGCAAAAGTGCACCACATTCAGACGGAGAAATGCACCGGGTTCGACTGTCTTTCTAGTAGCCCCATCCACGAGTAACGTTTCCACGTCAGGTATTATGTATGCTCGCAGCAACACACGGAGTTAACTCAATTATACAAACATGGGTTAGTGATTAGGTAACTGAGTTATTTATTTTGTTAAAGTTTCAGCTATTCTGTTTACAGTTCTGTCATCAGATTATTTAATACGATTTGTTAAAACATTATTGTTTCTTTTGATGTGAAATATTATTTATTTAATTTAAATAAAAAGCAATGTTAGTTTTGTTCACAATTTGTTTAGTTAGTTTACCTTATTTCTTTCTCCAAAAGGACCGGATCGATAAGCGGTATCGATAAAAGTAGTAGTACCGTTAAAACCTTAACGATACCCATCCCTAGTGTTTGCTCAACTACTGCTTTAATCACTATCGCTTCTTTTTGGCAATTTGATGTAGAACTCATAGCCAATTTGTGTCTCTGTCATTGATTCTATAACGGATTATTATTTAAGTTAAATGCACTTAACATGAATGGGGAATTTACTGTCTTACAAGATATCATTTTATATATCAAAGTCAACTTTATTGTCAATCTTTCAGTTCGAGAGATCGAAATACCGTTTCCAACAATCCCGAATATAAAAATACAAATATGTGTATATATATATATATATATATATATATATATATATATATATATATATATATATATATATATATATATATATATATATATATATATATATATACATATACACATATATATATATACACATATACACATATATATATACACAATCACACATATATATATATATATACACAATCACACATATATATATATATACACATATACACAATCACACATATATATATATATATATATATACACAATCACACATATATATATATATACACATATACACAATCAACAGAGACATTTATACATGTGCACACATTGAGATAAAAACACAACAATTAATATACAAAATAACAGTCACTTCAATATCTTTGTGAATGTACATTAGTGCAAGACTGTCCATAGCAGCGTAATAAGCATCATTTTGAAGTCAAAGAAACCCTTTGAAATTCCTCTTGTGTATTGTGCTTGTGTAACAGAAATACAGTTCCCCTACCTATCTCGGCATTTTTTTAGCATGTTACTGCTTGATCCCTCATCACCTTTAATTGAAGCCCATCAATTAGTGACTGTTTCCATCAACTTCACCTGTGATGAAAAGATAAACTTATTTTGAAAGGCTTTTTAAAGTTTCAAGGTATCACATAAAAAAAAAAGGTGTAAGTGCAATATTTGATCTTTTATACTCTTGGGAGATACTCTCATAGTCTGCCACTGTGTATGTACTGTGAGTGGGTTAGAGAAGTTTGTGGGTGGATGAGCAGTCGATTTATGTGCTTATGCAACGTCTCTTACAGTATAACACTGTCTGCGGTCCCGATGTGCATTTGGGCCTATCTAAGCAAAAACGGAGACCTTCATCAGCTATATTTGCCTGCACCATTTACTTCTAATGGAAGAATAAGTACAAAACTCATAATGCTCGGTGCTTACTCTGCTTTTTCTTGACTTATTATTTAATTGCAGTGCCGCACAGAGCCGTGTAACATGAGTAATGTCATTATCATCCCATTCTCTTCTGCATGGTTTCTTGTTGAATGGTTCAGTTTTAAGGTGTGATTTGAAATAGTCCCCCTCGAATCACAAATATCCTTCCTGAGTCAAACTGTTGAGTTAGTTTCATATTTGTATTTAACATACTGTACAGTATATTCCCAATGCTCACAAGTGCAGACTTAACCAAAGAATAGTTTGACAGAAGACTTTGAGTAGGAAAACAGTTATTGTTGTGTTTGTTTTCCCATGGAGGATTCACATTAAGACGGGGAATGTATGTTATTTTTAGCTTAAGACTGTTTTAACCCCTTTTAGTTGGTGGGAAAGACAATTGGCTTCGTATGGGGATTTGATTCGGTTCCCACTTCAAAGCTGCTGGGAGATGCTGGTTGTCTTCCCCCTTTGTTTATTGTGGTCTCATCTTGTTTAAGCCTCAGCATGTTCTCAGGATTACAGAGCTGCACTGTTGCCTTGTTAGGCTTAAAGTACATGCAGTCAGAATATATAATATACTCCAACTCCACTCATATTCATTTATTTTACCCATTTCACTATTTTAGTATAGTTACGGGCCTTAAATTCATTGAAAAGATTGAAAGACAAGACTGCACCTAATCGTATTAACTCCATGTAGATCTCATCTTGTTCTAGTCTATTTCAAAGCTAATTTTAGGTTTATAATAACTGCTCAACACTAATCAGGGGAAAAAAAACATTCTATATGGCCCTGTGGCACATTGACGGCAACGAAACATAGACATAATGGGGCTAATTGAATGTTATTTCACCTCCTTTAAGAGTGCTAATTAATCAAAAGAAAAGGCTCACCTACCAGTGAATGTTGGGTAATTCTGTTATGGCGCTTTTCCACTGCAGCACGTAGCACAGTTTAAGTGTTTTTTTGCTTTTCCACTAGGTAGTTCCGGCTCAGGGCTACTTTTTCACCTTTTTTCTGGCCCTCCAAAATCGAGGTTCTTACCGGGCCAACAACCGGGCTGAATATGCTAAACTAGTGACGTAATCACTCTCGACTGCTGAATGGTCAGAGAGAATCGCTGGCAAGGGGGCTACAACTACAACAAAATGAACATATTTTACCGTGATTTAATTGTAATACACGTTTCAAAATGATGCCGAAGTAACAACATACTGATACCGGTCTGCAGACAAGACGGCAGGCGAAAAACCTTTTTAAAATGCGTGTTTTCTGAATGGAGATCGGATCGATCAGGCTAAGCTAACGTTGTATGCTCCGTCCACACTCACAACAACGGCATACAGACATAAATAAACCAGCGACTGTATTCGCCATGACACAGACAGTCTGTGGTTTGTACTTGTTTAACTTTTGTCTAGTTTCTGAACAGATATGAGGAGCTGTGAGCTCTGAGTGCTAACAGCTAACGGCTGATGTTTTGTGTTTCACATTGAAGATGACGTCACAGCAGTTTTAAGCAGCGTCGCTCCGCCCGCCGAACAGCTGATCGCCCCGCCTACACTGCGTTACTATAGTTGCTACCCCAGTTGGTAAACTGTAATGGAAACGCAGCATAAAGTGAGCCTGGCCTACCAAGGCCTAACCATACCGTACTAAGCCGTGATAGGTCCTGCAGTGGAAAAGCGCCATTACATACATAAAGGATTGGAACTTGCAGATAAAAATTGGCTTTTTTAGTTTAGTTAACTTGATACAGCATAACACTTTTTATATTTTTCTTAAAAACTGCTTCATATCAAGGAAATGCCCCATTTGCATAAGAGTGCTAACGGTCATCACGGCCAGGTTTTTGCACCTACAACATTTTGCCAGAGAGAACCAGACTTGATGAAAAAGAGCAGTTATTCACTTACATTATCTAAATAAGCAAGCTTTTGGTCGGGCAGAGAGAAGCACAGCATTTTGCACGCTTGCAAACTACAATGCAGCATGATGTCAAGGTCATCAGTTGCCATGGTAATATAGATGCTTGCTGATGGGAGAAGGGCCTGGGATTGACCAGAGGGCAGAGCCCTGATTGTGCGCCTCCTTCACTCCTTGGCTTAAGAGAGTCAGAGTGCTGATGATTTTCTTTTCCTTTTGCTACAATCAGGAGACCATAGGCAGCATGTGGAAAGCTTCATGTGGGTGCAAAGAACCCAAATGTGTTTGTTTGTCTGCTCTCTGGGTAAAAAGGACATCTGATGTGTTCCTCAGGCTTCAGCTTGCTGTCTAATTCTTAGGTTAAGCATGGATTTTGAAACAAAAGCATAAAGATGTCATGACTTCAATAGACTACTGACATGTTCTTCTGTAGTTTCTACATTTCTGTCTGCACTGTCACATTTAATTATCTTGTGTAAAATGTAGGTTCTTCCTGTCAGTGGAAGGCAACTTTAATTCCTTTTTTATCTT